AGCTCATTTTGAGCTGCATTTTTTAATTATACACAGTTATTTGAGTTAAGAAATAGACTGCTATTTGACTTTACTAACTTATTTAACTGTTTTCTACCTCAATTGTGTGACACTGAAATAAAAACTGTTAAGGAATGTTACCTGTTAAAAAGTGTATCCGACATTTTCAAATTGGGGATAGTAGGGGGCGCTTTTAAAATATTAAATAACTATATAGAAATGGATGGGGTGCAAAGTTGATAGTTCGCCATGGGCGACAGAATGGGTCGCCGTGTCTCTGCCTAAGTACCGGTTGCTGATGAATAAAAAACGAAGACACCGCCTATTTATAAAACGTGCTCTTGAACATAACTGAGCTGCAGCCTTCAAGCTGACTTAGTGTAGAGTAGGTCTTAGACACGACACCAGAAAGTTTGGTTTGGGGGAGCGTTTTGTTTGTCGTGTAGGCAAAAGTGGTGGGACGAGACAGGTGGTCGGTGGACTCTAGTGGACGGTTGTATGAAGGTGGATTGTGGTGGATGGCGGGGGAAGGTGATCGTAGGTGGATTCTGGTGGACGGTGGAATGCAATGGACGGTGGATTGCAATGGACGGTGGATTGCAATGGACGGTGGATTGCAATGGACGGTGGATTGCAATTGACGGTGGATTGCAATTGACGGTGGATTGCGGTAGACAGTGATATGTAGAAGTTAGATTGTGACGGACGGTAAAAGGTGGTGTGCAGTAAACGGTGAATTGCAATGGACGGTGGGTTGTAATGGACGGTGGTTTGCGATGGACGGTGGATTGTGGTGGACGGTGGATTATGGTTTTAGCAGAGTTGGCTGTCATTTCATCTTGACCAAGTCTAATTGGTATTAAACATTGCAACATTACGGCTTGCCACAACATTAGAGCGCTAAAGATTTGCATACAGATGTTTGATTTGGTGTTTACGTAGAACACACGGCTGCCAACCCGAAAGTCTCGAGTTCGGATCATGTCCGCATGACGTTTTGAGTCCACTCAGCTCTAATGAGTACCTGGGTCGCGTTAGAGAAAGTAAAGGCGGCTAGGCATAATTATCCCTTCGTATGCAGATTTTACAATAACAGATGAACTCTACTTCATCTGAACTCTACTTCATCTGTCCCATGTACAGCCAGGTTCGAAAGGATAACTTTAAAAAAAATACTTCAGCTATTTAAGTTGAAAGATAAGGCTAAAAGTAAAATCATTCAAGTTAAAGCGCTCCTTTTAAAAAAAAATACAGCTCTCTTTTGAAGATTGAAGTTTCTTCATTATAAAAAGCAACGGATTAAACGGAGGATTGAGTAAATGCCCCATTAATGTACAGGGACTTTTGAAGTCCCAATTTTAAGTATACTTTAGTCCACCTCTTTACACAGACCCAGAGGGGTAGCGAGGGGGGCGGGGGATGCGAACCGCACCGGGTGACACTATTTAGGGGGCCGACACAAGGCAAAAATAGCAAACTATATATCTGTGTACAGTTTAAAGCTATCACCGGGTGGAAGGGGGGGGGGGTGACGCCAACTAAACGTTGCAAAATTTGCCCGAGGAAAAAGGTTTTCTTGAGCATTGTAATAACTGACACGCCAAGCCACGTCTGGGGTGGGGTTGGGGGGGGGGGGGGGGCGACATCAAATTTAATAATGTATTACAAATACTATGATTTTTCCCACTTGAATTAATAATTGTAGAGTTAGGGCCCTAAATGATTTCTCTTACGATGGGGGATGGTCGCTTTTTCGGTAACGTGAATAAATATATAAATATTGGGGGGGGGGGGGGGGATAAGACTGATAGTTCGCCCCAGGCGCCGAAATGGGTCGCTACCAGTGTTTCTTCTAGACTTGTTTCTCCGGGAGGGGGGGGGGGGGCACTTGAAATTTTCCGGGGGGGGGGGGCGGACTAAAATTTCCGGGAGGGGGGGGGCGGACACTGTATATATTTTCTATATATACTTTTCGTTGGGGGGTGGAGGGGGGGGCGATAGACTTTCTTCGTGGAAAGAGATGCCTGGAAGAAACACTGGTCGCTACGCCTCTGGATACATGTGATATTTAAAGCCAAAGTTTTTACCAAGCACACCCATTTGAATAAACCAATATTCAATGATGATGTTCAACCCCTGCTGCTTCTAATGGAGTTCAAATGTGTGCGTGCAACAGCTGTGTAGTTGACGTTGTCATAGACACAACGAATGGTTAAACTGCCCTTCCCAGCCCAACTACCGCTACGTTGTAAAGAATTGAACGGAAATTCAGTCTTTAATAGTGCCTCCATTGAATACATTTAAAATTATTTTTAAAAAAGAAAAAAAAAAAGGGGGGGGGGTAGGGGGGGTTATGCTTTGATTTTAACAACACTTTAAAGCATGGGTTCCCAAACTGGGTGTCGCGACCCCCTAAGGGCCGCGAAGGGTTTTCTGGGGGGGGGGGGGGGGTCGACAACTGGTAGACTAAACCCTAGCAATGAAAAAACAAAAGGGTACATATTTAGAAGACTATCTGAAATTCGGCTTTAATTAACATCACAATGGACATGGAATAAAAAAAAATAAACAATGCGTACTGTGCTAAGTTTTTCTTAGAAAATTGTATTTTAGTGTTTATCCATTTCCTCACTAATTTCGACTTTTTAATTCTATGGGGGTCGCGGGTCAATTACTTTTTATAAAAGGTGGTCGCCACTCGAAAAAGTTTGGGAACCACTGCTTTAAAGGGCAGCGCTTATTTTACAGTTTCCCGATAGCCACGCCTTTTCTGTCTGGCATGTATAAACGTCGCTAACTTTAAAAAAATAAAACCTTGTAAGCCTTTCAACAGATACAAAATACAAACTACATACCTGATATAAAGTAACAAAAATAAAAGTAAAGAGTACTCTTTAGATCTAGCGATCCATTGGGAAGCGAAGTATAGTTCATAATTAACCCTCATCTTTTTTTATTTACTCCCTGACATAATAAATACTGATAACTCCCTATACTAACTAACTATAACGATGCGATTCTTCTTTACAAAATACAATTAAAATCAATTAAACGCTCCCTAAAGGGCCTGAGTCTGTATAACGTCTCTGTAGACCACCTACCTCTGAAGGTTACCTGGCTCATTTTTAGGGAAAGTGATATGCCAAGGTCACCAAAACTGCTAAACTCTACTTCACCTGCCCCATGGTTCGTAAGGTTTGAACTGGTACCCACTTAAACCCTCGGTGCAAATAATTGTGGGGCGGGGGGCGGACACTGGTAAAAGTATGTTTTCTATATTAATTCCAATTTGTTCGGGGGGGGGGGGCGTAGTCTATCTTCGGGAGGGCAGATACCCCCACCCCCGAAGAGATGCCTGGAAGAAACTCTGTACAAGAATCACATTATTTGTATGTATACCAATCACATAACATTTACATAGCAATCATATAATATGACACAAATTACACAATCATATTATAGTAGTAGTACATTTTAACATTTACGCCGTTCCCAACATTTACATAAATTATTTAAATAATCGAATTTTACAAACCCTTAGCCTTAACTACTGCCTTAATATCCGGTTGCTCTTATGACTGTAACAGCATGTATTACAACAACATAGCACTGCCCCACATACACCCCACACCCCGGGCTATACACCCTTACCTCTATCTCCGGTAAGCCCGGAACACCAAGCCCCAAGCCCCCACAACCCCTCCCCTCTCACCATAAGCATAAAACAAAGCACACGCCTTTCCTTACCTACAATCAAAAGAGATAATGTAGATCTGTGTATTGGGTCGTGTATGGGAATAATCAAACAATAAAACAGATGTAGACCATGTAGACGTATGTAACACATTAACACAACTCACTGTTCACTGTCTGTATACAACCGTCCAATTGTGTCAATGGACACCAGCGAGTTGACGAGATTCCTTCCGTAATATTGTTGACATGGAATAAAAATGTGCTTTTTTAGATTTAGGACCATAAAACTAATAAAAGATAAAATTTTATTAAAAACTTAAGCCTAAAATTAATTCAGAAATGTAATATTTTTAGAATCAATGCTATACAAGTTGCAGATCCAGAGAACTTGAAAATAATTTGTTGAGTTTAAGGCTACATTTCTATTTATTTTCATCAAGCCTAAGTTATAACCCGATGTTTCACTTTCGTAAGACAAACATTGATTGGCTGTAAAGGAACTCCGTGATCGATTTCTGACAGCCCCACTTTATAGTTATTTTGTTTACAAAACTTTGCAGATCAAATTTTTAAATAACTATGCAAATTTAAACACCATGACCTATTGTTTCTATTTTTAGCTTACAATGTGTACAATAAAATTTATGTCGGCCATTGTTTATGTCGCCATTACACGTGAAAACCAAATTGTTTTTTCTTTTTTTTAAATTTTTATTTAGTTACCGAAAATATTAAAAACATCAAATACATCCAATCTTTAGTAAAGTCCGAAAAAAACCAGACAGATAGGATTTTATAACCATATTAATTGTAACTACGCCGTGCAAGATTTTTAAATGAATTTATACACCTCTCAAATACCTTTGAGACTTTTCTCGCTGGTGTCCATTAATCTCGCGCCTGTATCATTTAGCAGACGACAACGCATTGCAATGGAGGGCAAATTACGTCGAAGCTATAATTAGACCTATACTCTGTGCTGACTTTAACTCTAAACCCGGTCCGGTTATTTTTCATAACCCGTTCCTTAAAGGCCTAAACCCTGACCCCAGTCCAAAACTGATAAGAGCGGTACCAACGGGGAAAAAACTGCGCTTTGATAATAAAGCTCTGTTGACTATCTTAACTTAAAATTTTGAAGTCGGACTAGATCTAGATCTACTCATTTAATAATAAATTATTAAGTCTTGGATATTTATATTTAATTTACTGCTAGTTTAAAATAATAAGTGATTACTTCTAAAAAATTAAAACATAACATGGACTAATACAGAACATTCATGTGCTACTGACATAGGTCCTACCTTATGAAAAGTTTATTAATCCTCACTGAACCGAATCCACAAACACACCATCACCTGCTCCATCGTTTCTAGCCTAGTGTGTGCTTAACTAACTGAACTCTGCTCACATAAACTCGCGTTTTTTTTCTCTTCCTTTTTTTTTCCTATTCGTACATCTGACCTATTTAGAACTCTAAAAAAAAGTCAAGTTTAGTAACTCTAACGCCGTAGCTTGCCCTAAATATTAAAGGTACTGCAGGAGTTACGGGACATGTCGTCCGCGCGAGCTTTGATAATAGAAACACATGAGATAGCTTAGCGAATGAGTCATTCATCTTTATTATCCTAGAATTTAAAAAAAAAAAAATATTTATTATTTGTTTTCTCTAACCTTTGCCATGTACAAACAAAAAGTAAAACATGGAAGAAATAAATAGCAGGTAGATAACGAATTAAAATAGGAAGGTAGAAGAGTATTACTATCATCACACTTTAAAATAAGGTTCGTCTTTAGTGTAATTGGTTAGGAGAGGAAAGGGGGGGGGGGGGGGATTAACACGCGTGACGTCACTCTCTTGGGTTGGGGGGGGGGGGGGCGAACATTTATGTCAATATGGGACGAAAGGGAGGCGAGGACGTCAGAAAATGTGACGTCACTTTTTTAAGTTTTTTAACAATTAATTATTTAAACTTATTTATAGCAGTTTTCCCCCTCATTTTCCAAGTCTTTATACATATTGTAATAAAACCTGATCTGTAAATGCATTGAGCCAGCTGTATAAATATGTTCATAGAAATTTGTTTCATAATAAGTTAAATGAAAATTGGGGGCGGAGGGGGGATGAGATACTAAAGTGTGACGTTATTTTAACGTGAGAGTCCGAGTTTTTTGTGTGACGATGGGGAGTGGGGGGGGGGGGGCAGGGGTGGATAAAAGTAACGTGACATAGTTATGAATGACCCATATGTAACCCGACATGAAACCATGCAAGTTGAGATGAAAAGGGGGGGGGGTCTGATCTCTGATATAGAGCCACACAGGTAAGGAAGAGGGATTGTCACGTGGGTGATGAGTGTGGACAGGACTAGTTCGTGGTCAGGGTCTGTGTGGTCACGTCACGTAAAGGGGTTCTTGTGATCACGTTATGGATATTCTGTGTGTGATTACGTCAGGTTAGTGTTTCTTCGAGACTTTTTTCTCCGGGGGGGGGGGGGGGGGGACTTGAACTTTTCGGGGAGGGGGGACGCTGTTAAAAGAATATATTCTCTATATAAATTCCGTTTCGTTCGGGGGGGGGGGGGGGTAGACTTTCTTCGTGGAGGGGAGGGGGGCAAGAGATGCCTGGTAAGTAGTATAGTAGGTCGTGTTTGGGTCGTAAGAGGAGGAGGAGGCGAGGGGGAGGAGGAGGAGGAGGAGGAGGAGTGATTGATTATTTTGACCGTTATTGATTGATTTTTGCCCACCTGTTGCATATTTTGACCGTTATTGATTGATTCTCGACCACCTGTTGCATATTTTGACCGTTATTGATTGATTCTCGACCACCTGTTGCTTTTTGTCCCTGTTTTTTGACCAACTATTGATTTTTTTTAGCCCGTTGTTGATTGTTCATTAAACAACTGTTGATTATTTTGACTAGTAGGTTATTGTTTTGATCGGTATGTTGACCACTTGACCACTTGTTGACCAAAACGATTATCATAGAGGAGGAGGAGGTTATTGTTTTGATCAATTGATCGATATATTGACCAGTTGACCAACTGACCACTTGAGCTATTGTTTTATTAATGGTTAAATAATAATGTTATACATTTTGTTGACCAGTGGACCAACTGACCAGTAGTTGACCAGATGATCAGTTTATCGGTTGTTGACCAGTTGCCCATTTGTTGGTTGTTTTTATTGACCTGGACGACAGTCCGGCTTTTAACAGTATATCGTAAAATAGTATTTCACCACCCTCCAGTGAGGGTGTGGGTGGGGGTGACGCGGGTGAAACCCGGGGGCGGGTGGGGGAGGTGGTAGCAGGTGGTACCCCTTCCCTTTGTGTGTTGCAATCTCATTCTCCCTTTGTCTGAAGTCTGTGTGACCATGTCCTTTTGTGTGCCGCTACTCGCGTCATACTCAAAGGCAGGTGCCGTACCCCATTGTCTAATCCAACTCACGCGCCTTTACTATCGATTTTTTTTAAAAGTCATGTTTAAACATGTTGACCGTATAAAATCTTTGTTGAATAGGCCTGGTGGATGTCGAATTCTACTCGTCTTAATATAAAGAGATACATCACGTGCCAACACCCGAGGCGGTTATTGCCCCCTTCCTGGTTTCTACTTGGTTGTTGTGTTTATGGCTGGCGTTTATTTACACACACACACACACACACACACACACACACAACTTACACACAACTTATATCACAACAAAAGACTTCTTATATTTTATGAATTTATTTCAACTTTCTCCAAGTCATCAAACGCTTTTAAAATATCATATCTCAGGGCGAGTAAACGTTCAAAGGCTATACGAGAGAGATTTATTCCAGAATTATTAGGAAATTTAAGATCTGTACCATCCATAAGATCTCTAAGATTTAAAGTGTTTGTGTTCATGAATTGACTAACGATAGCTACTTTATAACCACTGTCATTCGTCGTTCGTATTTCCGTCACTTTATTTCTACTTCTGGCCACAAGTATCCAATCTTCACGAGACATCTTGAAAGCGCGGAAATAAACGTTTATAATTAGTCCCAATAAGTGCAAGTGTTAAACGTGATATAAGTCGATCGTTAATATATTGTCGAGCCGGTGACGGTGAAAAAGGGTGGAGAATAAGTTTTAGGCTAGCTCCACGAACTTTCTTCAAAACAAAATAAACAGCGTATAACCCGCAGCTGTTGGTTACAATGTCTTGCAAAACTCTTGAATTGTAAACGAATGGTCTGTTTGAATTATTTTTTATAAAAGCCAAAATGGCGGGTTCACGCGGTGGTAATCCAAAACTATCGAAATAAGTAAATTGCGATAGACCATTGAAAAAAGACCAACCCAGTGGCTGCCTTCATCATTGGACGAATCTAAATTTATAATGAACGCCGCTTGCTTCGTTCTATCGATACGAGTAGGTAGTTGATCGCACGCTACAACACCAAAGAGATTTGTGCGTTGTACAAATAAATCTGCGGCCAGTATACTTTGTAGTTCTCTTGTGTTCATTTTCGTCTATAGGACGCTTTAGGCGGTGTAATCTGTCAACACTTGTCTCGTTTTTGAAATTTCTAACACCGAATCTAGTTCAGCATACGCAATAACTTGAATCGGTTCAGTTGTAACTTGTGAAAATTTAAGTTCAATAGAAACAGGTCCAGATTTAGCCAATTCAAATTGTTCACCATCCAAAAGACTGGGGCTTAAATCAAAAGCAAACAAGGTATAGCCGTTCTTAAAGTGTTTATAGTCTATCCCATTCCCAGCATCTTTTCCAACCATACCCAGAGAGAGGTTACTATTGAAAAATGCTCTAATGGCTTGATTCCTATCAAAGTCCATGACCAGTGGTTTTCCCGATAACGATCGTCCATCAACGCTTACATTTAAATATGTCAAGTGAAAATGTTGAAAATTGAAGGGGTTTTTCGTGTAACTACCATTAAAGGTTGTAGAGGCGACTAGACCGAGGACTAATCGGGTGGGTGTTTGACTCATATACAAATTGTCTTGATTGTGACTTAACATTCCTTTCGGTATAGCAAAGGTCTTTATAACAACGCGTTTAAAAGGGTATTTTGCATTCATTCTCGTTAAAGCCTTTTCATGCGCGATAGAAATCGCCGGGTTAAGTCTGGCCTTTCTAACCACCAATGTTGCGTGCGTTATCATCGCTTTATACCCCTTGTTTTGGTCTGCTGTCAAGAGAGTGAAACTGTCTTTTGCGGGTGTAAGTTTAATTTTAATGTCAACCCCATTCAGCATATAGCGATCTTGGGTGAAAATGTCAGAGTGTATACGTCCCATCATATCGATCTCATGACTTTCAGCAGCGGTGGTGCGGCGAATCCTATACCCATCATTATTATCATCTTTGAACTCCTCGAAATAACACGGTGTGTCCATCGCATATAGAGCGGCCGATAGAGACCCATTCTTGGCATCTTCCCCGTAATTTAACGTAGCCTCCAGATAGGCGCGATACGGATAGGTGTTCTCACTAGCGGTGATTAGTGTGTCGTTGAGAGAAATATCCACTTGGGAAAATAAACTGTGCAAAAAATAATTGACTGGTGCAACATCAGAGTCCACTGATATGGGATCACCATTCGCTAAGGTCACCTTAGCGCGCACATGTAAATACGTGTTGAACAAATCTAGATAGTCTTCACTGTTGCCAGAAATTGCAAATTCTATAGGTGCACTTTGTGCCAAGGATGCGAGGGGGTGTATTTCAACAAATTGACCCTCCTCGACGGCAGTTTGTGTCGGGGGTATACTAAATAAATCCAATCCAGAATGTAAGCACTCACATGAACTTGGATGAATAAGAGCCATGGTTAAGCAAATATATCTGAATACTTGGGATGTTTCTTCTTTCGCTTAGCACACGCCTTCGAATGATTGTGACTTGATCTGTGTGCTAGTTTTATTCGTTTTTCAAAGGGTTCACCTGGTGGTCTCGACAGCGCACGCTTTCTTCTCAATCCGCTTCCTGATTGGTTTTGTCCCAGGTGATCAACGGCGCCTTGTAATAAACGATGTCCAGCTTCTTTGGCGTGTTCTTTAAACGATTCTCCAATGTTTCTTCCCGCTAATGCATCGTTTGCAACATGCAACCCGGTACTAACACCTTCTCTGAGTAAAGCCTTACCTCCCGTCTTTATCCAAGGGAGGACCATTCGACCTAGACCACTAAAGAAACTACCAATACCGTGTCCTCTCTGATTTCTTCCACCGATAAAAATTGGTAAACCATGACCGTACTGGTTACAGTAAAAATCTTCGTACAATTTAGGGTTTCGATGTAAAAGGGTATGTTTCACCATGGTGTGAGTTATTCCAGATCGAAATGTTTACGTGTTCTAAAATGGAGTGTCAACACTGACGTTCCACTTGTGAATGAGAGAGATTGTCCCAACTCATCGCATAAAAGTATTTCCACTGTGTCGAATGAAAAGCGGTTCAGGGGGATGTAGTGGGGTTTGTCGTAAATTCGAAAAACGGAACTTGGTTTCTTCTCAACGAT